ATGTGTGAATACTTCCAAGTCGTTGCTTTTAACTGCCAAGTCGTTCCGCTGGTTATTCCTGTGAGATTTGAATGCAGCCTAAGATCAGTTTCAGTATATGGAGCGTGTGCAGAATCCATTTGAGCTGTCCGGGAAGCCAGTTGTTCATCAGTGAGCAAGCCAGGGGTGAAACTGGCTTTATGGAAGCCCTTTAGGGAACTGGGGTGTCAGTGTGGAAGGCTTTCAAAGACGAGGATAAGGCAGGCTGCACACACGTGTGAAACAGAATCGTATTTTACACACACCGCTACAAACAGAGCTTAATTTGTCCTCCTTACCCATAATCCCTTTGGTTAATTCACCATTCCATTTGATCCCAGTGGTCCTACATGTCACCTCAAGCTACAGCGGGTCTGTTGTGCATATGTGTTTATGGTGAGGAGTCGGTGTGAAATTGAGCTTAATTCTGGTGTAACCTTTTTCTCTATATGTGTGTGACAAGTGACATTTAGCCTATGTGTCCTTTCCTATACAGTGAATGTTCTGCGTGCCACGCATGAGTGTGACAGCGCGACGCCGGCATCATCTATCCTACCTCATGCCTTCTCGCTAAATGAAATTCTGTCTCCCCCTTTTCCTTTCACAGCTCAGCACTCATTTTAATTAGCTCGCTCTCTGATCTCTCTTTTTTTCCTCTCCCTCTCTGATAATTCTCTCTCGTTTCTTTTGCATTTCTCTCACTCACTCATTCCCTCTCATTACAGTCATTTTTCGGAGTAATTAATGAGCTGATATCTGCTTTCGTGTCACAAGGGTCATGAGCTCTCTCTCTCTCTCTCTCTCTCTCTCTCTCTCTCTCTCTGTATAGCATATGAGTCATCCGGCGCTCTATTTAGCTGCCGCTCTGTCTTTCTGCTCCTCTTTCTCAACACTCAAATGAAGAGGGAAATAAAAACACGGATTGTATGACCTCCGTCGTCGTTGCAGCTGATTTCAGCTCAGTAATTACACTGAGAAATGAAAGAGTTATATAGCGAGTGGACCACACAGCCAGACTAGAGACAGGTGAACAGCTTCTTAGTCAGACCTGGATAGTGAGTTGATATAATGTGAATATGCAGCATTAATATCAACCTGTAGCATAGTTTTATCTCACAGACTTCATTCAGATACAGGAGCAACAGGAAAAGGTGTCAATTACTGAAACAGATACTCAATTGATCTCCAAACACTTCTCGGTAATTGTCCTTCTCGCAGTCATTTTAATGTCCCGTGTTGCTGGTGTGCAGTTTCAGGGTCAGGATGGAAGGATGAGGATGGTGATATTCTATATTTTTCTTCTCATAAACAAATTCCATGAAAAGACTAAAACTAATTATATATTTATTCTAATGAAGAGTCAGCCTGCGTGTCTAAAGCTTCGTATACACATCTTATTCCTCTGTGCCATAGATCTCATTATTGTCCCAAATCTGTTAAAAACACATCAGTGATTGACGCCGGTGCAGTTGGTGACAGTGTTCTTTCTTTACAATCAACATGACCTCTGTAGTTTATTTCAGGTCAATCCCAAATAGACTGTCTGCTGCTATAAATATTACTCATTTACATTCACTCACATCTACTCATTTGTACACCAAAATGTGTATTAATGGGTGGCTCAGTGGTCTCATATGCATCATGCATTAACTTGCAATCTGTTTCTGGATATTCTACGTAGATAATGGAAAACATATTAAACATGGGGCAGGCAGAAATCTGGAAAAGGCAAAAAAAAAAGGGAGAATTTGAAAATACATCATTCAACTTTATCTCTCCTCTCTGTCTGAAGCCCCTCCCACCAGACAATCAGAGGCATATGCTAGCACATTGTACAGTAACCCAGTGTTTCCCATACATTGACAGTGATGTTGATAGGTATTCAATGTAATGAGACCCACAGGTGGTCATTTGAGTAGGTCCCAGGGAAAATGTGTTGGTCCCCAGAAAAAAGTGTGTTTTTCGACAAATTGAAATTATGGTTATGTCAGCCACCTTATCTACTTGAACAATATTTGATTTATGTTCTTAGGGGGAAGCTTTGCCAATTTTCAAACAGCTTTGTGTGTGCAGATGAATAAATAGTGTTAGGCTTCCCTTCCTGCTGCCTGGAGCTCCCTGCTCATCCTCCAGCAGGGGGTCCTGAGTTGCCCCTCATTCAGCAAACTTTTGTTGGCCGATGAACGTGAAGGGAGGGAGACCAACCATAATCAATCAATCAATCAATCAATCAATCAATTTTATTTATAAAGCCCAATATCACAAATCACAATTTGCCTCACAGGGCTTTACAGCACATCCCTCTGTCCTTAGGACCCTCACAGTGGATAAGGAAAAACTCCCCAAAAAAACAGCAGATGCACTGTAAAGAGTTTTTTGTTTGTTTGTTTTTTTAGCTTGAAATGATCCCAAACTATGGACACTTACTGTTATTTTTCTATTTTCTGTCTTCTCTTTTGGAGTGAGGCAAAAGACACGCTGTGAATGGAGGCTGTAGTTAGCAACGTAAACATGAATGTGAATTAGCCACAGCCAAGAACCTTTGGTTCTATTTAGCAGAAACCTAAAGTATGGTCAACATTTTCTCTCCATCTCGTAACATTTCCTGAGTATCGACATGTTTAATTTATTTTATTGTTTACAGTTTATTTTATTGTTTACAGTTTGTTGTCAGTTCTTTAATATCAACTTTCTCTGCGATAATATCAATAACGATTCTCCAACATGTCGTTGTCTGTCATGCCTTAATCAGGGTGGTATCTCAGGCCATTCCAGGTTTCTTTTTATATGTTTAATCAAGTAGTAGTGAGGCTTGCAGAAATACACAGTGCTCAAAAAAAACAGTCATTTTTCTCCCTTGTTTTTCATCACATGCAACTATTTGTAATTATAGTGGCACTATAGTTAATGCTATGGTAGCATTTTTAAAGATTTAGGTCTTTAGACGAAATAAATGGGCTTTGGGCTGAGTGTCACACACAGTGTAGGAATGTATGAATAATACATTGCTGACTTTAGTGTTTTTATGGAATTTTTCTTTTTCTTTTTTTTCTTTTTCTTTGACAATAAAAAAAATATGAAATATTACATTACTGAAATATCATTACTCTTTTGCAAGTTACCCACAGCCAGTTCATAAAATACTGTACTTTTGTAAACACCTATACTTCTCCAGGAAACTCCTCTGATTTAACTTTCGAATTTGGAATGAGTAACAGACCTGCAGGGTTAGCATGAGCAGTGACAGGCCACACAGTTTAACAGACAGTCCATGGCTGGGAAGAGCTTGCAGAAACACCACAGTAAAGAATTTGCACCACAGATGGAGGAAGAAGATTGGAAGATTGAACAAAAGAGCATTTTGATTTTAACACATTAACTGTGTGCATCTCAGCGAGGGGCATTACAGCTCTCCGAGGTCTGTTCCTTTGCAAAAGCCATTGGTTAGTGTGTCTTGTCCTTTGCTATGTACTGAACCAGTTTATTGCATTAACAGCAGATATACACATTTATTAGACTGACCTGCTTGAACTGATACATTTTCTTTGGAAATACTGCATTCCCGCTATCATTTAGTTGTTGTCGTTGTTGTTGTTGTTGTTGTTGTTGTTGTTGAAGTGTCTGCAACCTGCTGCGTTTGTGCACTGAGACCACAGTGATGTATGGCAAGTCATTTATAAAGGGTTTGTTTTTTACAATAATCCATCTTACTGATTAATGAAGACAAAGCATCTATATGCTGGAGGAGGATCAACACCAGCAAAAGGGATTTTTCATGACCATGGCCACCTGAAAGTTGTTTTTATTAATGGCTTTCACTCGATCTATAAAGCATTGATAGATGATTTGTTAGGATTAATTAAGCCATTAGTCATAACTTATTTTTATATTTTTGTTTTGACTGGTATCTTACTGAAAAATGTTGGAATACACAACTCCATACTGACACACAAAAGCTTCAAAATCACTTTTTTTGTCATGATAAAGTGTGAGAAAAGTTCACTGAGGCGAAACCTCAACTGCTTTCATCCTCACCTAACCTGAGTTGTGTCCATGTATAAATGTGTGTATGTCTGTGCGTGTGTGAGTGAGAGAGAGAGAGAGAGAGTGTGTGTGTGTGTGTGTCTATTTGCACTGTGATCCCTTTAATCCTGATTCGCCCATGTCCTTCAAACCCCAATCAAGGTTGTCATTAATGAGCATTTTCTCTCTCCCTGCCTCGCCCTGCTTTTTCCCTCTCTCCCTCTCTCTCTAAACCTTTCCTAATTAACTACAAGCACTGCTGCTTACTAATGAGGACTGAATCTATGTGTGTGTGCATGCATGTATGCACAGCAACACCGCTGAGCAATAAATGACTTCAATAAACATTTCCTCCGGTTTGATTAGCAATGCCTAAAAGTTGGTGGTGATTCAACTCTTTGAGGCCTTTGGGTTCATCTAGTCATGTCTGAACATTAAGATTTGTAACTTCATCAGAATCTGATTCACTCCAGCTGCCTAGTGTGATACATCACTGATGTGCACAAATGCTTAAAAGTTTGGATGCATACTAACACACTACATTGGCAACAACTTGTTAAGCGCAAGTCATCCTTCGCCACACTGCATACTTATCATCCTACCTTCAATCTATATGGTCGACTTTCAGTATAGCTCTCTGTATTCAGAGTGCCATGCAGTTTAGTTGATATAGAAGGAAGTGCAGTGGGTGATAAGTAGTCTATTAGTCCAGCGTAGCATGAGAAAGTTATACACTGTAGAACAGTGTGCACACAGTGAAGCACACAGCTTTTTCTTTGCTTTGCATACTGAAGACTAGGCAGAAAAACTGGGAATATATTAAAGGACCATGTCAATAAATTACACCACATAATTCCCAATAATTTCATGTCTTTCTATGCCTTGCTTTTTATGTCCAGCATGCAATATATGCGAATGACATTAACGTCTCAATTTCTCTCTTGTTTTGTCTGTCTCAGGTGTCGTGTCCAGGTGGGGTGATAACCATGGAGAGGCTGTTGTTGTGTGTAATGCTGGCAGTTGCCATGGCGGTGCGGGCACAGATCTGCCCGAAGCGCTGTGTATGTCAGATCCTGTCACCCAACCTGGCGACCCTCTGCGCCAAGAAAGGTCTACTGTTTGTACCGCCCAACATTGATAGGCATACAGTGGAGCTACGGCTGGCGGACAACTTTGTCACAAGGTAACAGTTACATCAATGATACTACTATGAATAGAACCTCTACCATAATGAAATGCTACAAAATACTGATTCTGTTTTTACTACCTTACATGTCCAACTTGTAGTACACACCTTGAGACATTGGGGACTCTTCCAAAACAAAAGCACATGGCTAATTACTATGCAAAATCAAACTCTCTGACTATGACCAAGGTGTAACTTGCCTTACTCTACTTCTGATTGGCTTTTACTTGATGCCTTCATTGGTTTGGTTGGATAAATATAGGCATGAGGTGTGCGATTGGTTAGGCTTAGGGTGAGAATATCAGGGTAAGCCAATCAGAGACAGAGAAGGGTGGCTCATTCCTTCACTATAGCACTTCCGATGACATCCTTCAGCAAAACGATTTGCCATGTGCTTATGTTTGGGCTGGTGGACAGAGAGCTTCTTGGTCCATTATGAGCCCTCAGAACATGGCATGGCACCGAGACAGTTGCATTCCATGAAACCATTTTAGTGCAACCGTGCTTTAAAATGGTTGGGGGTGCCCAAGGTTGTCTAGCTAAAAAACTTGAATCAAGCTCAACTTTTGTTGCCGCTGGCCAATCAGTGACATGGCTGGTGGATCAATTTGTAATGTGCACAACATAGTCTACATTGCAGTCTTTAAGACACAGCACTAAATGATATGAAGCGACAATATTCTGCTCCATAGTGTGCAGTGTTTTGGAGTCAGTGTATCAAGATGCCACATGATAAATTGAAACAGCCTCACCAGTTTGCCTTGACATGAGTATAAACAATTCCAAAACACTCAAAAGTGTTTAACTGCTAAACTTGAAACAGAATTTCCCAAACTTTACCAGCAGCTCAAATCTCTTCCTGTCTACACTAGGCCAAAATGTTCATCAATATTCAACAAGCTAGCAGCAATATCCCCACTTTCCTTCTAGCTAGTGAAAATCATCAGTAAGCTAAGTACTGACCATGACTGTATCCAGAGAACTGCATACAGAGCCAAAAGCAGAGCCCCATTTATTCTTATGAAAGTTGCTCAGTGGCACATGAGGCCAAAACGCTCACCTCTAGTGTTTAAAATAACAAAATCTCCCCTGGCACTGTTCATGGGGGCTTGATATTGACTAGGAAAAACTCACTGTGAGAGCTAAAATGCAATTGTTGATGTGTTTTAATGTCACTCCAGAATGTATCTTTGTTTAGTTTTATTGGCCATACCAGGGACCATCAATCACAAATCTTTCCATCATATTAACCTACTAACTAGCCAAATCCTGAGAAGGGATACAGAGTATTATTTACAGCCTTTGTGGGGAAAAAATGTTAAGAATACAGGGAAATGTAAAATCAGAGGCATACTTTTTTACAACTTTAGTTTCATCTAGGTCTGACAGTTTTCCACTGAAATAAGCCTTCAAACTCATAGTTGTATTACTCAAACAGGCCTTTTAAACACAGTGCTATTAATGGTCTGATCACTAGCTTATCTCTAATAGGCCAAGTACTTGTTAGTAGTATGATTGTTACTTCTGTTGGGAATGCTATTGTTACTAATAAACGTTCTGCTAATTTGAATGCTACCCCTATAGCTGCTGCCTCTGCTACTGCCATTAGCCTGGCTAGTACAATAGCTACCATAGCTGAAAAACTACTATTCTGTAACCACTGAAACTACAGCTAATAGTAAACAGCATCAAAAGTTACAACTACTCTAAGTGTCACATACTGTTTTGTAAGTACTGTACTAGGACACTATTACCACTAGAACTATCATTACAACATACTTCATACTTACATGTCCGACTTTCCTAGTGCTATAATTGATGAGTCCTTCATGTCTTCTCAAAATGTGTTCACTAAACTCTGACATCTGTGTGAATATTAAAAAATAATAATGATAAAATAAAAATAATATATATAAGCACCATGCTTTTTACTGGAATGAAAGTAGTCCAAAAATCTCCACCAAGACGAAGCAAACTACTTCAACTTGAAGGTGAAAAGTTATCATGATACGCAATGTTTCTTTAATATGATATTACTGCTTCAATAAACCTTTAATTATTAAAAGAAAAAAAAACAATGTATAATGCTTGAAAAACTTAGTACACTAGTCCTTGGAAAGTTCAGTCTTACTGTGTGAGAATGAACATTTTTTCCTTAAAGCTGGAAACAGAGACACTGATCTATGATGTCATCAGCCAAGAAAGCCTGGAGCCTCTCCGGCAAAGATGAATAAGTCGCTGAATTTTTGGACAGAGCGGCATCGCCCAGGGTCCTTTTTATGACGATACAAGCACATTATCCGCCGGCACTAGAATGAAATAAAACTCATTTGGGTGTGAAAAAAAGCACATTCTTTAAGGCCCCAGAGTAAGTCATAGTCAGTTCATAGTCAATGGAGCAGCTCAAGGCTGTCTCCTGATAGCACTGCAGTTTAAAACTCTCAGTTCTCTGGTTTGTAGCCTTTGGAGAGAGTTGTTCACAAATATTGAATGAGGTGCACAGGATGAAATGCCATACCATATGTGAATTCTGTTTTCTATGAGTTTTGCTTTTAAAAATTCAAAGTTTTCCAATGAAAAATCTCCTTCATCACTTTTGAAAGACCGACAAATATGTAACATCGCAATTTGAAAAGGAATGTGCTTATCTGTGTCCACAGTGTGAAGAGGAAAGATTTTGCAAACATGACACGGCTGGTCGACCTTACATTATCCAGGAACACCATCTCCTACATTACACCTCATGCCTTTGCTGATCTGGAAAACCTCAGAGCTCTACACCTCAACAGGTATGGATTGGCATACAGCTGTAGACTGATATGTTTTGGGGATAAAATGGGTATTACATGGAATCTTCTTGATAAATATGACATGTTGTAGTTTATTTCTATAGCCACAAAAAACGTATTTCTTTCCCTCTCTGTCCCTCTTTTGCAGTAACCGCCTGACAAGGATAGGCAATGATACATTCAGCGGGATGTCGAAGCTTCACCACCTGATTCTGAACAACAACCAGCTGGTGCTGATCCACCAGGGAGCATTCAATGACCTGCTGGCGCTGGAAGAATTGGACCTCAGTTACAATAACCTGGACTCTATTCCTTGGGAGGCCATCCAGGTCAGGATCTCTTTAAACTGCAGGAGCCTTTCAAACTGGTCCGACTGGAGTCCCTTCAAAAAAAAAATCCAACCCAAGGCCAATAAAATGGCTATAAAACCTTTTTTTTGCCATTCATCTGAAATTAAAATAAAGAGATCTTAAGAGCTTTTGGATTGAGCAGAGGCCATTATGCAAACTATTCATTAAGCTTCAGTGACGCTTAATTTCTAACTAACACTTTCAATTTTACCAGTGTTCTCTGCCAGCCAGCAAGTTATGTTTTTGTATTAGAAATGTCAAGGCCTGTTTGGAGCATATTAAAAATGCTTTGCAACTTGAGATGACTAAGTAGATATAGTTTGATAAATAGGTGCTCTTTTAAGTAATTGTGATTCTGTAGTGACTAATCAAATAATGGCCGAGTTGGTTTTACTTCAGCTTTACAGCATGGAGATGTTAACACTGTAATTCAACTTCAACATTTTCTATCAGTACTGTACATAAAGGAATAAAGTTAGAGATTAAAGGAGAAGTGACAGGACTTAGAATTTGCAGCCCTGGAACCAATCAGAAGCAGAGTCCTGCACTGGGTCGGGTACCCGCAAAAACAGCTGATTTGCGGGTGGTTTTTTACAAAACATTTTTTCCCGGGTTCGGATCTGGGTGGAAAAAATAACATGCGGGTCAGATCGCGGGTTTTAGATAAACACATCAGTCATTAGTTTGGTAAACTACAGATAACTATCTTGGTCATTATTTAATCTCTGAGGATCGCCTCCACTATTTCGCAACGGTCATTGGTTCAGCTGTTTACACGCGTTTCACCATCTAATTTGTGATTGGACGACAGAATCAACATGGCTGCCACTGTGTAACAAGCGCCACTTCCAATAAGTAAATAATTATTTAGGTATTTGAGAAATAAGTGGATAAAACGTACAACTATCACTTTATAATGCTTCTGAAGTGTTTCCCTGATGGATTACTTCTCTCCTCGATGGATTCTAAAAACATGTGACGGCTCGTAACTGCTGAACGTCGCTCTGGACAGAAAGTAAGTCTGTTATGACACATGTAAAGTTCCTTTACATAGATTAAAAGTTTAAAAGCATAACAAACGAGTGCTTTTACACTCGTATAGGAGAAGAACACAGAGGGTTGATGATGGAGCTGAAGTCAGGTTTTTATTGTGAGAGCTGCTTCATTCAGGTCGTTGTTTACTTACTGGCACCTTAACTGTGGCGATATGCTGTTCAATATTCAGCCAATATGACCCAAAATGATTACTTTAAATCCGGGTTACGGGTTGGGCTGCGGGTCGTGTTTCAACGGGTCGGACTGGGTTGCAGTACTAATTGGCCCGATGCGCAGGTTTGCGGTTCGGGTGCGGGTTTGTACGTCGCCGGGTCGGGGCGGATCTTGAAAACTGGACCTGTGCAGGACTCTGATCAGAAGTAAAGAAAAAAGTATAAAAACTGCCTTTATATCCAGACATTCTTAAGCTCACATTTTTTTCTGTTTTTTTCTTCCTGCAGAGAATGACTAGCCTCCATACGTTGAGTTTAGACCACAACATGTTGGACTACATTCCAGAGGGAACGTTTTCCCTGCTACAGAAACTCAACCGGCTGGATGTCACCTCAAATAAGCTCCAAAAGTTGCCACCGGACCCACTTTTTCAACGAGCACAGGTATTCTCACAAGGGTTTTTGCCACCAAATTAGAACTAAACCATTAGCGCCTGGTGTTTGTACGCCTCTGCCAACTAGTCAAGTTACAGCTTACATTCATGTTTGTCCAGAGTCATACTGTATGTAGCTATGACAGTAGACAATGCTTTAAATATGGATGTTGCTGCAAAGAAGCTTCATATAGTAAACATGGATGCTTCACGTAATCCCCCTCCCCCCGTCAGCACAGAAGATCTATACCAGGGGTATCAAACATATGGCCCAGGGGCCAGAACCGCCCGCCAAAGCATCCGATCCAGCCCACTGGATGACCTTGCACACCTAATAGTCATGCATTTGTGAAGGCTAGTAGGTGCCAGGTTTCAGGAGCAAGTTAAACACTCAGAGCTGCCTCAGAGCCTTTTCACCCTGAACAGAATATCCATCCATTTTGTAAATGGATTAGCATTTTTAAAATGTACTTCTTTAAACAAAAAAAAAAAAAAAAAAGAAAAATTGTTTGTTATTTATAGGATATTATGCAATGATTTTACTGGTCCAGCCCATCTGCAATCAAATCAGACTGTTTGTGGCCCGTGAACTAAAATGAATTTGACACCTGATCTATTGAATCAGCACAGTTTCAAGATGAACACCCACCAATTCTCCGACCAAATGTCTACCCTTCTGTTCCTGAGTTATGACGTTAAATAATGGCTGAAAAAGTGTTTTTGCAGAACCTTATGATGTCACTGTGAACTTGACCTTTGATCTTTTGGATATAAAATGCCATTACTTAATTTTATCCTATTAGACATAGTGAAAAATATTGTTATAATCAGTGATGAATTATAAAGTTATGACCAAAAATTTGTTTTGTGAGGTCACAGTGAGCTTTGACCTACAAAATCTCAGCAGTTCATGGTTGAGTCCAAGTGACTGTTCGTGCCAAATTTGAGGGAAATCCCTCAAGGCATTTTTGCAGTATTGCGCTCACAAAAATGGGATGGACTAATGGACAATTCAAAAACATAATTGGGCTGTCTCTGACGCAGAGGTATAAAAAAATGTTTCTTCAAATGTATGCACATTTCAACTACATTTTGGGTCATAGTTCATATTTTCTCACCCTACTGATTTAGACAATCACTCATCTGATTCTTAGAAGCATCAGGCCACAGGGTAAAGAGGAGAAATATACATTCATCTCACTGTCTTTATCTATTATTAAATGCAATCATTGGTTCACACTACCAGGTCCTGGCCACATCAGGGATCATGACCTCCACCTCCTTTGCATTGTCGTTCGGTGGGAACCCTCTTCACTGCAACTGTGAGTTACTGTGGCTGCGAAGGCTGAACAGGGAGGACGACCTGGAGACATGTGCTTCACCCCAACACCTCTCTGGCCGATACTTCTGGTCCATCCCTGAGGAGGAGTTTCTCTGCGAACCTCCACTCATCACCAGATACTCCCATGAGATGAGGGTGCTTGAAGGACAGAGAGTCACACTCAGGTATCTTTATCAGTTCCTTAACTGAGCTACAGAAAAATAGTGTAAATACATGCAAAAATGTAAAGATAAACAGAGTTTCCTCATTATCTTGTAACCGCTCTGCACTCTGCCCCAATTTGACGAACACACAAACACACATACACTCTGTTTTGATTCTTTAGTTGTGCATTACATTTACAAGGTGCTGAAGAATACCTGAAATGCTCGACTGTTCGATGAAGCACAAGAGAGGGACATCACGCTTACATTTTAAGGAGGATGAAGCTAAATCAAAAACAGGTCTGAGAGATGATGATTACTTCATTTGCATATATATTGGTCACACGCTTCCAATTATGATAGATGTTATGTTTTCAGGTATGGAATTAGGAGAAGAATAAGGAGGCAAAGGAAATCAATGAGATGCTATTATTCTCTTTCCTTTATTTTGTTTTGTCTCCAGCTCTATATATTAGATATTAGTAGAGATTATCAGAGGGTCACCACCCCTTACATTTCTCATCTTGAGCAGCATCCATTTTAATCTTAGGTGTAGAGCTGCTGGAGGGCACAGGTACGACACTCCACCATCTTTTTTCTAAATAAGGAAACAGAATATTCACACTTTGCATTATTCAGTGAAAATTCATTTACATCTTGTAAGTGCTTGGAGATAGAATGATCACTAAAGCATATGTCATGCAAGTGAGACAATAAAGAAAAGTTGTCATATTGACACTCAGGGGGTGTTGATTGATTCATGGCATCAACTCATGCATTGAATAACATGCAAGAAAATATTCCACCTCAAAATTTGCCAGGTGCTGATTGTGGTAGCCTTTGAGCAGAGCAATGAATTTAATTATTTTTTCTAAATTACTTTTTCTCAGTCAACTGTTATAGTAAAATAGAAAAGGCAGTCAAACATGTTTTATTTTTTTGGAAAAGCTAAAAAGGTAAAAGTTTACGATGATGTAATTTTAGTTAACCCACCTTGGGCTAGCTAACAGGTTGGCTTCTACTAACGCTAGCCTGCTAACTTGCATTGATAATGTGTGGTCCCTGATGAACTGGTTATGCTAAAACACAGCTGTAAAAAGTTGTAAACAGTAGCAAGTGAATACAGCATGTCAATTCTTTTCAGCAACAGTTTGCTTTATGAGTCAGTACGGCACCTGTACCCTGAAACTCCAGTCCAAAGAGAAATCACAGTTAAGTACTACCACCTACTGACATAAAAGAGCATAACAGGACATAACAATGTTTACATTGTTTCAATGTTATTAAACTATTCTAAAAGTCTGATAAACATTTGATCTTGTGGTCAGAAATAGCTAAATTACAGCTGACTAATGTATGTAAACTTGCCACTGTGGGAACACTGGTTACTGGTACTTAAATAAGCACCACAGCACCCCTGATTTTACTGCATTCAACTGCAAAAAGCCAGGAAAATGTAGTGGTACATGGTTAGGTGTTGACGATACATGTTTTTATCAGGTAATGATAGTTTCCGCAGCCTTTGTTTACCATTTCATCATTGAATACTAGGAAATACCTCTGGAATGCTTGACTGCTTTCATTTGTCCCCTACAAAAATTTGGAGCTCACATTACTGCATAACAAACATCATTGCCCACATTTAAAAACAATGCGTAGGGTGGGATCCTACACAAAAGTCCCCTGACAAAATTATTAGCATTTCTTAAGTTCATATTCATTCATTTTTCATAGCACTTCATTGTAATTACAACGAATGAAAAGGGTCACAATGACCATGACACTTCTGTGCTTTATGTTTGATTGCTTTTAATTTTGATGACTTAAAGTTACTTTTTTACTGCTACCATTTCAATTCAGTCATGCACCTATACAAAAGATCACAATAAGAAAATGTCACTATTTTACGTAAACAATTCATGTTCCTTTTTGTACAGTCTGTGTTTAAGGCCTAATGGTTTGTCATTAAACTGATTCCTGACCTTTATCGGTATCTCTACATGACTGAATCGCATGAACATTTATGAACATTGGTTGGTCTTGTGTACTTACATGATAAATAATTGAGAGCTGTAATTATTAGTTGAGTAATCAAAGTCAGTTAAAAAAATAATGAGCAACTATTCTGACCATCTATTTCTCATTGAATTTTATTTAATTTTGTGTTATGTTATTTTATTTTATTCTATTTTATTTTATCTCATTTATTTATTTATTTTTGCTAATTTTTTAACTTTCCCGAGTATCTTTAGGTTTAGGGACTGCTGGTCTGGCAAAACAAATCATTTTTAAGATGTTACCAAGGAACTTGTGATGGGCATCTTTCTGATATTCTATTAGCCAGTATTCTAGTAAGTGATGAAAATAAAAGTTAGTTGCTGCCCTAAACTGATTATTCATCCAGCGATTTGAAGCCCAAAACTACAAATAACTATACTTATAATTATTTACAAGATATATCTGGTAACTGAGAAAAAAATGTAAATAAAGTGTAAGTTGTTCCTACATCTTTATATAGAGCAAAAATGCTACCCATTATTCTCTGGCCTCTCTTCCTCTTCAGCTGTCCGAGTAAGTACTGGTAAGAATTATTTTGGGACCCAGTACATACATACGACCCCGTTACTCTGTAATGCAAAGCATACTCTAACTTAAATTAATGTGCCCTGTCGACATACTAGATAAGAGCCGGACTCTTTCCCCTCCCACTTCAGTCCCAGATGAAGGTGTGGGGAATCCAGTTACCAACATGAAGCAAAGCTTTGTTTCCACTGTACAGCTGACCCCATTCTGTCCTGTTTCTAATATGTTCCACTCTGCTGGTTTCCTCTCTGTGAAGGTGTAAGGCAAGAGGTGACCCAGAGCCAGCCATCCACTGGATCTCTCCTGAGGGCAAACTGGTCTCTAACTCCTCCAGAACGTTGGTCTACAACAACGGGACACTGGACATCCTTATCAGTACGGTGAAAGACACTGGCTCCTTCACCTGCATCTCCTCCAACCCTGCAGGCGAAGCCCACCAAACAGTAGACCTAGCGATTATAAAACTCCCCCACATCTCCAACAACACCAACAACATCCAGGAGCCTGACCCGGGATCGTCCGACATTTCCACGTCGACCCGAGGCGGAGCCAACGGGAGCAACGTGACGGGCGACGTGAAGGGCGGGGTGGATAAAAGGGTGGTGACAGCTGAGGCCACGTCATCCACAGCGCTGATCAAGTTCAACTTCCAGAGGAATATTCCAGGCATTAGGATGTTCCAGATACAGTACAACGGGAGCCAAGATGACTCGCTGGTTTACAGGTAAGACTGACAGAATCACTGCATCACCGCCACGTCCATCACGCTCGAGTCAGACGGTTTACGCAATGGAAACTGAACCGTGATATGGCTAATGTGGAGGTAGAGAATTACCTCAGTCTGGGCTGTATAGATTAGATTACAGTAGATTAGATGCAACTTTAATGATCCTGTTGGGATCCTGTCGCTAGGAGACCCTATGTGTGTTACCAGGGCACTATAAGGGCCAGTGATGTTCACAGGACAGTGAGTAGTAGTGAGTCCCTGCGATTCACAGGTGCTCATTTAGGTGGGTCCCAGGGAAACTGAGTGGGTCCTCAATAAAATGTGTTTTGTGACAAATTGAACTGAATTAAACTCATGTTTGATGATTATAGGCCAATAATGGTGAATTGATGTATGTTGAAATTTGAACAAATAAAATCCCAAATCTGAAAACTTCTGAAAATCCGTAGACTGTAAATGTATATATATATACATTTACAGTCTGTATACAAAACATTAGGTAACATAAGAGTCTTTGCAAAAAAATTTTGATTGACGATAATGTAGATAATGTAGAAGTCTGACAATATGGACGATAAAATTCCTTAGGGTGTCTGAGGAAGACTGAAAAAAGTTCTGGAGAAAGCTAGGCATGTGTGACATGCACATATTTATACATGAATACACAAGCCCGGTTAATATTATAAATTGATATAAGTTGATATTTTCTCAAGGGGGAAAATACTGTATTAACCTGGTAGTTCAGTATTTTGAAAAATATGCTTTTTTTCTCTCTTTGTGAGAAGAGTTTTCATGTGTTACTTCCACTCATTGAGACTATGAGAAAAACAGGGTCTCTTAAAGAAAATGGCAGCAGCCACTGACAGTACTTTCCTAACTCGGCACATTCCCCAGACAGTAAAGCATCATTGGGTCATCATCAACATGAGTCAGTAAAGTATCCACTGCCACCCCAGAAGTTGAGTCATAAGATAACAGGAAAGTCTGTCATGATATCCTACATATTTATGAATTCAGGTACATTTTATGGGCCTAAAAATATATGGTTATTGTCTACCAGCGGTCCCCTGGGAGCTGCGGGCCATGCTGCAGCCACAGAGCTTCAGAGAGATGGGGATAAGAGCAGGAGGATGGGCAGGTGTCAGATCTGTGCAGAGCTGGGGAACAAAAACACATCACCGACAGTATGATAATAACGTCCAAATTGCAAGATTCAGATTCAGACTCAGACTTTCTACAACATCGGAAACACTTAAATAAAATTAAATAATTAAATAAGTTTTCACATGACGCCACTGAATGATTTCGACACAGACTTGTTCACAATGTAGCATTGTCAGGGAAAATAATAGGGTGTGCCGCCTGCACCCATCAAGGGTGCATTAAGTGTGTCCTGTGCATCAGGGACGCAGGACGCATACCTTGCAACATCATTGTAGGGCACTACAATGCTTTGATTATATAAATGAAAGATGAGCAGAGCACATATGACAGATATAAAAGGCATAAAACGCTGTTAAACTGGCTCAAATGTGCAAATTATTCAATATGAGTTAAACTTTTATAGCTTCATAAACATCATAAATGTGTTGTCAAAAACAGAACTGCGGAAATGTTGAAGACGAGCTTTGTTTTTATCAGAGCATATGTAGAGACCATTTGTCATGGCTTATTGCATTACAGCACAGACGGATAGTTCACATCAGGATGCGTCAGACCAACACGGAGATGAAACCGGGATGGACAGCAAAGACGTCAGACAAGCTGCGATGTGAGAAAGTTCATGATCCTCGGTGAAACTGGGCACAATAACGCAGCTCACTCTATCCAGCTGACTCACCAGGACGGCCTTGACAGCGAGAGCCGTGCTAGTCCTTCTTGACTTTTGCCGTTTGCTCAGGATTAAACAGATTACATCGATCTCGCAGGGAATGATTGTTATTTGAGCTAAATATTTACTCTGGTGAAATGGGGGAGAGGGAATTAACAAATACACAGAGCTTTCGTAGGGAGATCTGCCAGTATTATCTGCCTTTCATATCGCTGCTAATCCCTATATATACTTCATCAGTACGCATCATCATCAAGAGCCGGGGGAGCGTTGAGATTGACCGTCTGGGTCATGATGATGACAGTGCTCCAGGTTGTTATGAAATTTTCTCACCACGAGCTATGAATTTGTGATCCTTGATCTCTTACAGTCTGTATCTCTGCGCCGACACCAATATATGATTACCAAACACACAGCATTTGCAGAAGAATCTGCGAGTATCTGCCTTGCATATTATTCCTAATCTCTGTACATAATTCATCAGCACTTAACCCCATTCAGAGAACACATCATGGAGAGACGGCGCCGATGGGATTTATAGCTGTCTGTCTTGCAAAGATAGCGTCAACGCTTTTTCACATCAAGATAGCTCCTTTCCCTCTCTATCCCTCTCTTCCTCTGCTCCACTCTCTTTTATTCCTAGAAGCGCACCAAAGCCTTTGTGCATTTGTAGGATTGTCGTCCTACAAAAGGCTGCGTTTGTACTTTTAGCCCAAGACTTTAAAATACTTGTTGGACATATTACACTGGAGAGAGCACGGCGGCCACAAAAACAAACAGCTTCCTGCGGGGGCATGGAGGAGGAGTGATTAGACAGCCTTTCACCACCCACCTCGATCCTTCCCCACTCCGTCACGTCATTCAAAGTCTTTCTTTCTTTCTACCTTTTCATCCTCCTCTCTTCCTCTTTTTTTCCCCAACATTAAGCGCTGGAGCCATATGTGTTTCTCTGTGTTATTTTGTAGCTCTCTTGTCTTTAGATAGCAGATTGATTTCCATTCAGCACCTCTGCTGGCACAAAGCAGCAACCCATTGATTCTGTTTTTTCATTACGCAAACAGAGAGAAGAAAGAGGAGAGGGATGGAGAGAGAGAAAGGGAGTGCAAAAGAGGGAGAGCGGGAAAAGACGAGTGGAAAGCAGGAGAGCGACATAGGAGAGAGATGGCGAGAGTAACAAGGAAACCAGATGACAGGGAAGACTGGTCCTATTGTCACAGACAGGACACTTACTTTTCAGGTTCAATGAGAGCTTATTGATTTGCCACACATTGACATTTCTGCGCTTTACTCCCCACCTGCTCCACATAATACTCCAGAGTGTAGCTGTATGTTTCCCTCACACTGTGTGTTCAGCTCTCTGCGTAAACAGACGGATAAGTGAGCAATAGTTTAAAGCTTTTACAGGCACATCCTCCCGGTTATGTTAACCTCCTTGACATGCAATATGCTGCATGTCTGAAATGGAATAGTTGTAACACTTGATTCTGTATTGATCCCTGCAGGGAAACCCCGCCCACCACTCCCTCCACTGGGAGGTCAGGGTCAGCTTCAGAGCAGTCATCCTGGAGCTGACAGGGTTTCAGTGTCTTGCTTGAGGACACTTGAGACAGGCAGATGTTTACTGATACAGTACTGTTTAAACGGCAGTCCTCTCAGGAAGTATTGTATTCTTATTCTGGAGGCGGGCCAACTGCCCAGTCGGTCACACAGTAAACTCATGGCTATTCTGTTTCTATCCACCATGTAAATAATCAGTTTCTTCATATAGTGATGAGTACTTTCCTTGTGATAATTATCAAAAGTGAAGAAATGCTTAACACTGAATCATTTTTTTTATCAAAAGGTGAGTGTAACAGCTCAGTAGTTGTCGAGGGTCGAGGTCTTGACGAGTCCAGAATGGCAGAGGTGGAACCAAGTTGTTGTTTTTTCATGTCACAATTAGGTCTCAAGTCTTTGCACTGAAGTCCCAAGCCAAGACTGGCAAGTCTCAAATCATGTCCCAAGTCCTTAACTTTGAGTTTTGAGTCCTGAACAAGTAATTATGCCCTCTTCAACAAATGTAATGCCATTTTCACAACAGAGTGAATATATATTAAATTTCCATAAAACATGAATGCATTTTAAGATTTGTATTTAACTGTTAAAGTATGTTTGTAAGAACAAGTGTGACTGAAAATAATGCTGACACTGCACTTTCATAACATATTAGCTCCATTAAACACAACAGAATGAGTTTTGTATGTTTCTTTCCTGTCTTGTTGGATATAACTCATCTCATATTGGAAAAATATAGCTAACTGTCTCTACCCCAATGGGCTTTGGGGATGGTGTTTTCAAGTCAAAAGGCTCACATACAAGTGAGGTCACAAGTCATTGGTGTTAAAGTCCAAGTCAAGTCGCTAGGCTTTTTTGATTTTGTTTAGTTGAGTCCGAAGTCATCAAATTTGTGACTCAAGTCTGACTCGAGTCCAAGTTATGTGACTCCAGTCTACACCTCTTGGACTGAGGTGATTTTTTCCAAGATCAAGTCGGACCTGATAATTTTTTAAAATATATGTTCCTGACCCAACTGCATGTCCGAGTGGGGAGACAGACACAAGATACAGTCTAGGTTCTACAGTATTTTATGGACCCGACAAACCTGTCAGTTAAAATCATGAAAAATGCAGCTACACTGCTAAGAACATTTTTCATGTCAGATACAAGAAACTGTGATCCATCTCCCTGTATATACTGTTTAATAATGTTTCAAATGTCTATTTTTATTTTATTTTGTTGTTGTGATGTGAGTTGCCATAATGGCTTAATTTCCACTGCTCAGGGATTGATGAAGTTCCTGAGTTTGCCATATTAGTGCTTATCACGGGTCTTTTTTTATCCACTTGGGTAGTACACATAATAATACACAGACCCTCAACCCTGCAGTAATAGATTGGAACCTGACCCGGATCAGATTGATCATACTAAAACATGGACCCAAACCTGTACAGGTCCTGGGTCAGATCCTAGAGTCTAGGTAGACTCGTAAAGACCTCTGGTCTGCTGAACAGAGCATCCCAGTAAGCTTATTTTAAGAGTGTCAGTCTTAGAAGCCAACGTTAGCTCAGGCAGCTACAGCACAGAAAACTGTAGCGTTAGCACATTGCTGTCTCAAGTGTCATCAGTC